GACCTGGGAAAGAAAAAAGAGAGAACCTTTACCACAATGAAAATAGATACATTCGTACCCAACTATGTAATAAGAATATAATCCATTTAAGTTTCCCGAAATATACTCCTCAAAGTTCCCCTTCATTTATGGGAAAGATCCCTCCTCTGTGGCATTAAGTGCGGGGAGGAGAATCAGTTTGTTTTGATAAACAGTTCAGCACAACAGGAAATAGTTTAACTTTGGTCCACTTGTCTGTTAGCTTTAAGGACAGTCACACCGCCCATATTCAGTTCAAAAGCCCAATATGTAAATTTAAAAATATATTCGTTACTTCATTCTAAAACTGGCATAGCTGTTCTGTCTTCATCCCCTGCCTTTTCAACTTGGGAATCCGCTGTTGGCTTGGTCTCTAAATCCTCAGCATTTTCCTGATCTTCCCCGGCAGTCTCAGCAGCCTCTGCTTGGCTAGGCTCTCTCTCCTCTTGGTTCATGATTTCTGGGGTCATGTGATCCAAGTCTGTGTCTAGAAGCTCAGTTTGTACTTCCATTGGCATCTGATTTACCCGTTCAACATGCAGCTCCTCCACATGTACCTCAGTACCTTCTTCGGTCTGAATTCGACCCACTTCTAGATAACTCACTTGGACTTGCTCTGGAAGTTCACTTATATGTGAATCGTGCACTTGGCTGTCCTGGAGCAGATCTGGATGAACTTGTTCCACAGTTACTTGTGCTGAATCCACCTGGACCTGAAGCAATGGTAACACATGCACCTTCCCAACTTGTTCTATAATAGTCATTGATGTCACAGGTTCAGTTTGCACACGTGTTTCTACTGAAAGAACTTCTTCGGTTACTAGACGCTCTGAAATATTGTGAGTATCACTGAGATGCCTCCTTAATTCATTTCCTTGCATGAACCACAAGTCACATAAAGTACAATGGTTGGGTTTATCTCCAGTGTGTATTACCAAGTGATCCTTGAACTGGTCCCAGCTGTTAAATACACTGTTACAGACCTGAAATAACCAAACATATGATGTAAGTAATAATTATAGTCAAACTGAAGGAAATATGGATGCATTTATTCTCTGTAAGGATAATACTGAAGACTCTATTCTGAAAATGTTATGAACACAGTATCTGCAATATAATCTAGTCCAAGCTATTTCATAATTCCTTGGTTCATTTGGTCTTTTAGCTTATATAGCTAACAACTTAAATAGATTTTGGGAAACATTTCAACATTGCCTTCATTATTTTAGCATCATATAAATTCTAGAAATATAAATAACATTGTAATTTCTCCCATAATATCAACATTTCTAATCATTACATTATTTCAGATACTAATACATTAATCATGGAAGACGATTCAATTACACAGCTGGTCCGCCTCCTCCAGTCCCCCTCCCAAATTCTAAGCATTGCTCTGTGGCAAAGATTAACTGTAGTTTCAGAGTATCTGTCATTTAGGACATAATTTTTATTGACATTGGTGTCTTCTAGGGTTAGGTAAAAACTATTCCAATCCCCCTTATAAAATCAAGACAATAATGTTTTTTACTCTCATTTCTTTTCAAACCATCAGCCTTTGCTTAAGGCTCTATTACCCTTCATTTTGAATGACTGCACACACACATTCCTTTGTTGAGGACTGACTGAGTGCACCTGCACATACCTGGCATTCATAAAGCTTCTTTCTTCCCTTTTTTGCACCCACTCCAGTTTGGCATGCAGTGAGGTGACATTTAAGGGTGCTATTTCTAGCAAATCGTTCATGACAATTTGGACATTCAAAAGGTTTCTCACCTATTAGAAGAGAAAAAAATATATTGACAAATTAAGAAAACCAGCAAGAGCAAATACTTTTTAAGAGGTTACTTCTTTCTTTTAGGTTAATAGTACATTCTTAAGAGGCAGAATCACAATTTATAATGCAGATATTTTCACTACATCTAAGACTTTTCCAGAAGTGGCAATAAAAATAAGATTTAGTCATTATTATAATTGTATCTATGCTCTGACAAATAAAATTTAGATCTGAGTTCTGTTCTATGTTTTTGCATTTCTTAAAAAATTGTATATTTTCCCTTAGATAAAAAAAATCATAATCATTATCTGTTTGGGGGAAATGTACACCATCCTTTCCACAGGCATTTTTTGCACACTTACTGTGTGCCAGACTCTGTGCTAGGTAATCAAGATAAAAAGATAAACTGTCCTTCTTTTAAAAAAAACTTCATTATCAAAGGACAGGGTATAAAGATGAAATATATGAAAATAAACAAATACAATGCACCATAGAAGACCTGCTACAGAAAAGAGTATTTAGAATATGTACTGCAGCAGCGCAGAGGAGGAGGACAATTCTTCCTGGAATGAAATGAGAGAAGAAAAGGAAAGAAGGATGTTTATTCTGGACAGAGGCACAGGAGTCCTAAAACAGCATGGTAGGTGAAGAGAAAGGAAGGAGGAATCGATAATGACTCCCAGATCTCTGGCTTAGAATACCAATCAGGATAAAGAGGAGTCTAGGTGTCCAAATAGGTTTGGGGTGAGGTGTGTAGGAAAGAGCATAAATTCAGTTTTGTGTCTATTGAGTTCAAGGTACTCAGAGCAGAGAGATGTTCTGTAGACAGTTGTACAGACAATTCTGAAGCCAAATAGAGGGTGGACTGACACACAGATTAGGGGTCATTTTAAGTGAAAATAAAAACCTTCATTTTGTCCCTGGCTGTCTAGTGGTCAGGATAAATAAAACAAAAAAACAAACCTTCATTCTGGAGAAAAATTCTCAGAGTATGCTGTGTGATAACAGAATCAAGGGCAGAACCCAGTGAAAAACCAAGTTAAAACAGCAGGTAGATGAGCTAGCAAAGGAAAGAGAAATAGAACAGCCAGAAGTAGAAGGAAAGAAAACTAAGGGTAATTACGGTAGTCAGTGGTGTGTGGTGGGGTCAGAAGCCAGAGTGCTGTGAGAAGAGGGAGAGTGAGAGGCAGGTCAATGAAAACAGGCAGTACAGAAATTCCCTCAAGAAGGCCTGGAAGTAAAGAGTAAAGGTGGCTAGAAGGGAGCAAGTAAACAAGAGGGTTCTTTCAGCCAGGAGAGACATTTATTATTTATTTGCTGAGGGGAAGAGGCAGCAGAGAAAGAAGAGTGGGAATGATAGATGGGACATGCTCTTAGAGGAGACATCGAGGCGTGGGATCCAGAATTGGCCTTGAAGAAAAGAAAAATCTCTTCCTCTATCTGGAATAAAAGAAAGTGATAAATCAGACACCAAAGGGCCTAACTTAAAGTCTGAGATATGAATTTTCTCTAGCAGTGCTCAGCAACCAGGGAGCAGGAGTAAATGACTGCAATGATTCCAGGATGGAAGGTTTTTAGAGCAAGTGGAAATGTGCTTAGAGTATAAGAAAAGGTGGTTCAAGTTGTATAGAAAGAGGTCCATATAAGACAGAAGTCAGAAATGGGGCAACATACTAGGTGGAATTTTTTTCCACGACAAAACGATTAGAGCTTGTTTTGTATAATTTTCATGTTATGAACTAATTAATTTGAGAAAGAAGAATTACCTGGAATTAATGTGATACGGAAACTCCTTTTCTACTCCAAAAATGTTGGGCAATATTGCTAAATAAAATGGTTAAGTTCTGTTGTTTTACACTACAAATAAATTGGTATTGCTGCTTTAAAGAGTAATTTGATAATGTTTGTCAAGATTTAAAGTGTGCACATTCTTTGACCTTGCAATTTTGCTTTAAAAATAAAATTACCTGAACATGTGAAGATATATGCTTCATGATATAACCCTGTAAATTGTATAAAGCCTGTAAATTAGGTATCATTATTCTTATTTACGGACAAGGAAAGAAGCCCAAAGATTAAGTGACCAGTCAAGTTCAAATGTGGGAACTGGAGTCGAAATTGAATTCTGATTTCTGGACCTACATTCTTTCTGATTCCACACCATCTCTCTTGGAAACTAGGGAGCACCTATTTGAAAACATGCTTAAAGGTTACCTCTACATTTTCTTTCACACTAGGTGTCCCACAGGTATATGTCAATGTGTCTAGTATCTTCCCTCCCACTCAAATTGCTTATCCTTCTATATTGTTCTAAGTTAAAAACCTCAATCATGTAAGCCACCTAAATCAGAAAGCTGGGAGTCACCTTCTCTTTTACCCCCACACCTCACTGATCACCAGATCCTATTGATTCTGCCCACTTAGTGTTACTCAAATCTCTAGCCCTTTTCCACCATCATTGCCTTTACCTGACCTCCCATTCTGGTTTAGATGACTTCAACAGATAACTCACTGAGTTGGCAGGTTTCACCCCACTCCAATCCACCCTGCCAGTCATCTCTCTAGAAAATGAATCTGATCAGATCTCTTACTAAAACTCCTTCAAAATGACCCAGAGTCTTCAAAGATAAAATCCAAACTCATTTACAGTACTTATGAAAGTAACTACATGATCTCAGCCTCATTCTCTCATTATTCCCTCTCTCCCCTCCTTAACCCACTTGCAGACTCTCCATATGTCTAGATACATGCTTCACGGTCAGCCCTTCCAACTCCTTCAACTACATCTCCTGGCATTCTTCTACCTGGACCCAACCCTTTGGTCATACTGCACTACTAGCAGTGCTTCGAACAATTCACTTCCTCTCATTCCTCTATGCCTGTGTATGTTTGATTTCCTTTGCCTAGAATGCCCACTTGCAGGCTAATTCCTTTTCCTGTGAGGGTCATCATAGGGTAAAACCCCTAGCAAGCCGCCTGCTATGGTTTGAACATTTTCCCCCTCCAAAACTCATGGTTTTTTTTTTTTGAGACAGAGTCTCACTCTTTTGCCTGGGCTAGAGTGAGTGCCATGGCATCAGCCTAGCTCACAGCAACCTCACACTCCTGGGCTCAAGCGATCCTTCTGCCTCAGCCTCCCGAGTAGCTGGGACTACAGGCATGCGCCACCATGCCTGACTAATTTTTTCTAAATATTTTTAGTTGTTCAGATAATTTCTATTTTTTTTTAGTAGAGACGGGGTCTCGCTCTTGCTCAGGCTGGTCTCGAACTCCTGAGCTCAAACAATCCGCTCGCCTCGGCCTCCCAGCGTGAGCCACCGCGCCCAGCCCAAAACTCATGTTTAAGCTTAATCCCCTATGTGGCAATACTGAGAGGTGGGGCCTTTAAGAGTGACGGGGTCATGAGGCCTCTGCCGCCTTGGGACTCCCCAGCAAGGCTCTCACCAGATGTGGCCCCTTGACACTGGATTTCCCAGCCTCCATAAGAAATAAATTCCTCATAAATTACCTAGTTTCAGGCGTTGTTATAAGCAACAGAGAACAGACTAAGGAATCATCCTAGTCTCTTCCATCATAAGCAAACAGCGCAGGCAGGCATTCCCACACGATTCTGCTTTTCTCTATCAGCACTGAGCATGTCACACTGTGATTGTGCCCACTTCTCTCCCTCAACTGTGAGCTACTTGAGGGCAGAGGCTCTTAAACTGCTTTATATTCATAGCCTACCAGGATAGCATTATCATTATTATTTTCCAAATGAAAATAAATCCAAAGCACAGAAAACAGCTAAAATTCTGCAAATCATGCCACAGATTACAGCGCATGCCTTAAGAATACACAAGAAACCAAACCATTAAACTAATCAAAATATGAAACTGAGTAAGGTGTTATTATGTGCTTTGAAGGTAGGAAATGGGAAGAGGTTTGTCTCCTATATTCACACTTAGTTTGCGATAAGGGAAAAACAATCCACCCTTTATTAACTTAAACATAATTTGAAATGGCTTATAGGCCAGGTGCGGTGGCTCACACCTGTAATCTTAGCACTTTCGCAGGCCGAAGTGAGAGGATTGCTTGAGGTCAGGAGTTCAAGACCAGCCTGAGCAAGAGTGAGACCTGTCTCTACAAAAAAACAGAAAAATTAGCTGGGCATGGTGGTGTGCAACTGTAGTCCCAGCTACTTGGGAGGCTGAGGCAGGAAGACTGCTAAAGCCCAGGAGTTTGAGGTCGCAGTAAACTATGACTAAGCCATTACATTCTGTCCTGGGTGACAAAGCACAACCCTGTCTCAAAAACAAACAAAAACAAAACTGCTTACAGGCACGCCTCATTTTATTGTGCTTAGCTTTATCGAATTTTTTTTTTTTTTTTAACACAAATTGAAGGTTTGTGACAACCCTGGGTCGAGCAAGTCTATCAGTGCCATTTTTCCAGCAATGTGTGCTCACTTCATGTCTGTGTCCCCGTAATTCATACAATATTTCAAACTATTTAACTACTGTTATATCTGTTATGATGATCTGTGATCAGTGATCTTTGATGTTACTACTGAAATTGTTTTGGGGCCCCATGAACCACACCCATAAAGACAGAGAACTTAATCGATAAATGCTATGTGCACTCTGACTGCTCCACTGACCAGCCACTCCTCCCTTTCTCTCTCCTTCTCCAACCTCCTCATTCCCTAAGACACCATGATATTGAAATTGGGGCAATTAGTAACCCTACCATAGCTTCTAAGTGTTCAAGTGAAAGGAAAAATCACACATCTCTCACTTTAAATCAAAAGTTAGAAATCATTGATTAAGCCTATGAGAAAGGCATGTGGAATGCCAAGACAGACTGAAAGCTAAGCCTCTTGGGCCAGTTAGCCAAGTTGTGAATGCAAAGGAAAAGTTCTTGAATTAAAGGTGCTATTCCAGTAAACACAAGAATGATAAGAAAGCAAAACAGCCTTATTGTTGATACGGAGAAAGTGCTAGTGGTGTGCAGAGAAGATCAAACCAGCCACAAAATTCCCTCAAGCCAGAGCCTAATCCAGAGCAAGGCCCTAACTCTCTTCAATTCTATGAAGGCTGAGAGAGACGAGGAAGCTGCAGAAAGAAAGTATAAAGACAGCTGAGGTTGGTTCATGAGGTTCAAGGAAAGCAGCTGTCTCCAGAACATGAGAGTGCAAGGTGAAGCAGCAAGTGCTGATGTAGAAGCTGCAGCAAGTTATCCACATGATCTAGCTGAGATGATTGCTCAAGTTGGCTACACTAAACAATTGACTTTCAATGCAGACAAAACAGCATTCTATTGGAAGAAGACGCCATTTAGGACTTCTATAACTAGAGAGAAGTCAATGACTGGCTTCAAAGCTTCAAAGGACAGGCTGATTCCTCTTGTTGGGGGCTAATGCAGCTGGTAACTTTAAGTTGAAGCCATTACTCATTTACCATTCTGAAAATCCTAGGGTCCTTCAAAATTATGCTAAATGTATGCTGCCTGTGTTCTAGAAATGGAACAACAAAGCCTAGATGACAAGCATATCTATTTACGGCATGGCTTACTCAATATTTTAAGCACACTGTTGATACCTACTGCTCAGAATCTTTTCAAAATATTACTGGCTCAGTAATATTATTACTCCTCAGTAAATATTACAATGCACCTAGTCACCCAAGAGCTCTGATGGAGATTTACAAAAAGATTAATATTGCTTTTGTGCCTACAAATACAACATCCATTCTGCAGCTCATGGATCAAGGAGTAATTTTGACTTTTAATCTTATTTAAGAAATACATTTTGTAGGGTTACAGCTGCCATAGATAGTGATTCTTCTGATGGATCTGGGCAAAGTAAATTGAAAGCCTTCTGGAAAGCATGCACCATTCAAGATACCATTAATAACATTCGTGACTCATAGGAGATGGTCAAAATTTCAACCTTAACAGGAATCTGGAAGCTGATTCCAACACTCAAGGATGACTTTGAGAAGTTCAAGACTTCAGACTTCAGTGGAAGAAGTTAACTGCAGATACAGTAGAAATAGCCAGAGATCTAAAATTAGAAGTGGAACCTGTACAAATGAATGAATTGCTGCAATCTCCTGACAAAACTTGAACAGATGAGAAGTCTCTTCTTATGGATTAGCAAAGAAAGTAGTTTCTTGAGATGGACTCTACTCCTGGTGAAGATGCTGTGAATATTGTTGAAATAACAACAAAGAATTCAGAATATATTACATAAACTACATTGATAAAGCAGCAACAGAGTTTGAGAGGACTGACTTTAAAAGAAGTTCTACTGTAAGTAAAATGCTATCACAGCATCACATACAACAGAGAAATCTTTCGTGAAAGGAAGAGTAAATCGATGCCACAAACTTCAGTTGTCCTATTTTAAGAAATTGCCACAGCCACCCTAATCTTGAAAAACCACCACCCTGATCAGTCAGCAGCCGCCAACATCAAGGTAAGACCCTCAACCAGCAAAAAGTTATGACATACTGAAGGCTCAGATGATCATTAGCATTTTTAGCAATAATGTATTTTTAAATTAAGGTATGTATTTTTTTAGACATGTTATTGCACACTAAAGAAACATAGTATAGCATAAACTTTTATATACATGGGGAAACCAAAAGATTTGTGTGACTGGCTTTACTGCAGTATTAGCTTTACTGTAGTGATCTGAAACTGAGGTATGCCTGTATTTACGCTCTTCCTGAATTCACTAAGTCATTGATCACATCTACAATTATCTTGCCACTAATTACTGGTACAGTAATTGACTTAAAAGACCATGAAAGTTCAGTTTGCTTTATGTGCTAACCTGTTCCTCCAATGGGCACATGGTTCTATAATTTGATGACGACTACTTAAGTTAATTAAGTTCCTTAATCTCGTATCATTTTGATGGGAAGGACAAAGATGTACAACACAGTGTACTTTAACCCTATATTCTGTTGTCCAATCCAAAATAAAAAGCACAGGACCTGAAAAGCACATTTTAAAATTTCCAAAGTGGTCTGTGTTGTCCTATTTTCCAATGGGTAAGAGTTAACAAGGTAATGTCTTGGATAAAAGACACAACTGCTGCTACTTTCACATTCCTAGGAAATAATATAAAAGCTACTGATAACTGCTGGAGTACTGGAAACCACTATCAAAGTTTGCTAGTTACCCACAAATGTTTATTTACTGTGCTGCTGGGTTATCAAACCTTTTGCAAAATTAATCCAGTTCCCGAAAAAACATTCACTGAAAGACCATTAAAATAAATATTCATTTTCTAAGAACCAAAATTATAACTATAGGCAGTTTCCAAATATAAAACAGGTACGGTCACCCCTTGGTATTCGTGGGGTACTGGTTCTAGAACCCCGGGTACACTAAAATCCACACACTCAAGTCCCGCAGCTGGCCCTGCAAAACTGCACAGACACAAAGTCAACCTCTGTATGTGCAGGTTTCACATCCTGCGAATACTGTATTTTTGTTCTGTTTGGTTGAAAAAAAAATCCACGTGTAAGTGGATCCATACATTTCAAACCTGCGTTGTTCAAGGGTCAACTGTATATACATGTTTGAAATCAGAAAGCATTTTCTCAGAAGATTTCATAAATGTGTATTAGTTATCCAAACTAGTACCTAAAGTATAAGATTCCTACTGTTTATATTTATTCAGTCCCAGAGTATTGACAGCAAAAGTCTGGATAGTGAGGGATAACATTATCTGAATCTATCTGGTGCCTCAATTTTAAGTAGTATATAAGCAAATGACTCTGGATAAGTGAGGAATCTATTAAAAAAAAAATTCATCAGAAAGTCTCCAAACTCCAGCATGAAAGAGAAAGATTCTGAACATTGCAGGATATCTATGTTGTATTTACTGTATTAACAGTCTAAGCAGCCTTCACCACCACATGTAACAAGGACTTGGGAACAAGCGCCCCGAAGCCTGACACTTGGCACACTATAGTAACTGCTCTCTCCATACCCTTGTTATAGTGGATTTAGAGACTACCCAAGATTCAAGTCACTGGTGGTAGCTCCTGGCTCTAGTGCAGGAGACATAGCAAAGAATGCTTGGAGAACAGGAGAAAAGTCAGGGACACTCTGACATGGATAAAACCAGGCATAGGGGATGCAGAATTATGAGGACCAGAGGCCCTGAGGCAGACTTCCTGGGACAGCTTCCTTATGCCCAGATATTTCTCCCAGGAGAAATATAAACATGTTACCCTCCTCAGCTCCCTGGCTGTCCACCAGTTCTGACACACTTGCTGTTGGAGAGGTGGAAAGAGATGGACATACATTGCCTACCTATCTACTGAGTCAAAGCAGATAACTGTGTGTTTAAAAAAAAAAAAAAAAAAAGTATAAACATGTCAGGAATTGCTTATAAATGTACTTAATCTATGCAATGTGTTAACGCGAGAAAAGTAAAAATAGGAACAGTAAAGTCTCACTTTCACTATAATTAGGATTTAATAATTTACGATCTTCAGTAAATTAATCACAAATTGTGTTTTACGTATTTCTTGGAAAAATATAAAAATTGGTAAGGCACAAGAATGACAATTACTTTCAAAGCTGATACTGATTTGCATTTGAAGCATTCATATTTCAACAAAGTAATACCATAAAAACAATGCACATCTATTAGCCTTAGAAAATACAGAAGATGGCTTCTCAGGTACTATTTAAAAAAAATATTTAGATATTTGAATGTGGAAAAAAATATACTTTTAACATAAAGTATTTGCGAATTACCTGTATGTTTTCGAAGATGCTCTTTAAAATGTCCAAAATGATCAAACTGTTTCTCACAGTACTGACATATGTGAATTTTTTTCCCAGTTCTTTGCTTCTTACTGACTCCACCTTCTTCAAGGTGGTAACAATTTAGGTGCTGTTTCCATGCGCTCTCTCGAAGATACCTTTTATTGCATATTTCACACTTGAAACTCTCAGTGGAGTGTGATTTCATGTGTTCCTTAAAATGGTAAAACAATTTAAATGAACGGTTACATTTCTCACAATGGAACAAGTCCTTCACATGTGACAGCTGAAGTTCCACAATTTCAATACCTTCTACCTGTTTGCTTGTGGGGTCAGCTGCACAGCCATCTTCTTCTTTAATCTGCCCTTTTCTGTCACCTTGACGGTACTTGCTGGTAATATCTGCCAACAGTGCTAGAGCGGAATCATCAGAGGAACCTGTGCTCTGTATGTACTTAATGGACTGCTTGGCAGAAGCCACTTCCTCTAACGTTTCAATGCCTTCATCTTCCACTTCGATGGTGCCTTCGGCAATCTCCACCTCAATTTCAACTGGTTCTGATTCTGCAGACGGCAACGACTCAGTTATCACATTTGAAGTTTCTGCAATCTTCCTTTTTTTTGCCTCACTTTTTCCTGTGGTATTTTCCTCTAATGGAGCTGAGTTTTCTTTGTTCCTGAAATACATAATGTATGGATTTAAAAAAATCTGTAAGATCATAATCCTAGCAGGTTTTTTTAAAGAAACTGATGATAAAATTTATATAAACAGGCAGAAAACAAGATTAGAGGTCTTATACTACCTGATTTCAAGATTTACTATAAAGCCACAATAATTAAGAGAATCATATTGGTGAAAGCACAGACATGAAGATTAATGGAACAAAGTCCAGAAATAGACCTATACTTACATAGTCAACTGATTTTTTAATTAATTTTTTCTAGAGTCAGGGTCTCACTTTGTCACCCAGGCTGGAACACAGTGGTGTGACCATAGCTCACTGCAGCCTCGAACTCCTGGACTCAGGTGATCCTCCTGCCCCAGCCTCCCAAGTAGCTGGGACAATAGGCATGTATCACCACAGCCAGCTAATTTTGTATTTTTTTGTAGAGACAGGGTCTCACTATGTTGCTCAGGCTGGTTTTGAACTCCTGGCCTCAAGCAATCCTCCCGCCTTGGCCTTCCAAAGTGCTGGGATTACAGGCATGAGCCAACTGCACTGGGACTCAAGTGATTTTTGAAAAAAGAGTTTCCAAATAATCCAATGAAGAAAAGACAACCTTTTAACAGTGGTGCTAGAACAACTGGTACCGGTATGGAAAAAATAAGCGTCAACCCTTACCTTACACCATACACAAAAAATTAACTCAAAATGAATCATGGACATAAAGAACTAAAACTATTAAATTTCTAGAAAAAAAAAAAACAGGAGAAGAACTTAGTAACACTGGTTAAAAATTTTCTTAAATAGCATACAAAAAGCAGAAATCATAACAGCAAAAAGTAATAACACTGACTTCATCAAAATAAAAAACTTCTGCCTTTTGAAATACAGTTAATAAAAAAGCAAGCTACACCCAGGAGAAAGTATCTGCAAACATGTATCTGTCAAAGGTCTTATATTCAAAATAAAGGAAGGAGTCTCACAAGTAAATAAATAGAAGATGACAACTATTAGGAGTCAGTTTTCTATGAGTCTCTTGAGTTTCTGCACATCTTGTAAACTGAAAATTTTTGTTTCAGACTTTTCAAGGATATTTACAGTGTAGTATAGTAGAGGGTAGATTTGTTTAGGCCAGGCTTATTTACTGTCAAATATAATAAAGACAATGTCTCTCTATGGGGCAAAGGCTAGGCACGTTTGCTTATAGCCCATTATTAAATGCTTGGGTTTCCTAAGCTAGAGATACTTCAGCTATGATATATAAATCAATCATGTATACAGCAGTCACTTGGGCCACTCTATGTCAGCCCCGTGGGACTTTAAAGGAAGGGAAAACTGGCACGAATATAAAATTTGTATTGCTTGGTATGCAGAGAGTAATAAAGGCCTTTCTTTCTGACTCACAAGTCTTTTATCTTCCACCAGCACCCATGACTCTGTAGCAGGATAACTTCGTTAGCTTGCAAGTAGGGTAAAACTCAGATCCTTCATAGTTTTTGGCACTGAGAACAGGATGCTGAAAAAAGATAAGGCTGTCTGGAAGGGAAAGGATAAGGCATCACCGAGCAATTAACAGGATTTCAGGGAAGTCCCACTGGAACTGGTGGTGTATGGTCAACGGGGTGATAAATGGTCCGTTACTTTCTTGTCTCCTCCGAAACTCCCCCCACCCCAAGAAAAAATACGCTTTAAGTCCTGGCCCCTAATACCTGTGAATGTGACCTTATTTGAAAATAAGTCTTTGCAGATACAATTGACTTAAGATAAGGTCATTAAGGTGGGCTTCAATGCAATACAACTAATACTTCTATGAGGAGAAGGAAATTCACAGACAAGAGAAAGCCATATAAAGACAGAGGGAAGATGGCAATGTGAAGATGGAGGCAGAGATTGGAATTCTGCTACCATAAGGCAAGAGATGCCTGGACCTGCCAGAAGCTAGAAGTGGCAAGAAGAATCCCCCCTAGAGTCTAGGGAGTGATCATGGCCCCAAGAACATTTTGATTTCAGACTTCTAGCCCCCAAAATTGAGAGACAATACATTTCTGTCATTTTAAGCCACTCAGTTGGAGGCACTTTGTTATGTATGGTAGCCTTAGGAAACAAAAACATCTATCAGTGAAGAAAAACTGGGAAGGTAGTTATAGGATGAGTACTGGGGCAGCAAGCTCAAGGACAGCTACAAGAAACACGCCCTGGGCACTGTGAACTCTGCTGTGGGGGAGGGGAGATGTTCCTGCTAATCTGATAGGCAGGCATAAGTCTGCCCCTGGCCACAGCTATACTAAGATTCAATGAGGATAGGAAGGGGGAGGAGAACAGAAGATTCCATCCCTTTACAGACAAGTTACAATGACATACACTGAGTGTGAAAGGAGGGAAATTTGCAGTTGCTATGGACAGAAACCAGGTGAGTCATTAGAACTTTGGGCCTGCACAGTGGAGCAGCCTGTAATACTAGCGCTTTGGGAGGCCAGGAGCTCCAGACCAGCTGGGGCAACGGACCCTGTCTCTACAGACAAACCAAAAAAATAAGCTGGGTGTGGTGGTGCACTCCTGTAGGCCTGTCTGTAGTCATACTACTTGGGAGGCTGAGATGGGAAGGATCTCTTAAGCCCAGGAGTTCAAGGTTACAGTGAGCTATAATCACACCACTGTACTCCAGGCTGGGCAACAGAACAAGACCCTGTCTTTTTAACAACAAAAGAACTTTGGCTGGTCCACATGGGAGATGAAGGGGCAACATATCGCTTGCTTGTCAAGGAAGAAAGGCAACACCTAGGCCACCTTAGGGCCCAGTCCCTCGTGCAGTCTATCATGCCCACCCTTGATCCATTTAGAGATGACAGTAAAAGGTCTCAAGAGTTTTTTGCAGTGGGTCCTGGCTGCTATAAGGGTGCCTTGGCTGTCTTGGGGAGAGGTCCTTGAGACAAACTCCTATGGGAAATCACAGGTGAGGCATTGACTAATAAGTCTTCCTGTCTAATTGGGTTTACAAAGTCACTGGGGAATGAGTAAAGGACCCAAAATAATATAAATTCTTGTGGTAAGCCTGCTGAAAAGCCCCCTAACCTTTATGTTAAAACCAGGCAAAAGCATGACAATATTCAGAATTAAGCAAGTATCCAGAATTAAGGTGTACTCTTAGTTAACCACTATACAAGTCAAACCTGAGTCAAGTCAAAAGCATAAACCTCATAGTCCCAACTGGAAAGCAACATGAAGGCGGAGCTGTTGAATCAAGGATTTGCCAAAGCTGAAATAGACAGTGTCAGTAGTGATGACCTTATGCTAACTGAGGTCTCCGGGCGGGCTGAAAACACTGGAGGTTTAGTTGAGCCACATGCAGCTTCCTTCCGTGTTGCTTGAAACCAACAGTAAATGGAGCCTGCTTACTGGCACAGTCACCTTTCTCCCTCCATATCTCCTCCTCCTCTACCCTCCCCTTTCCCTTCTACCTTGACTTCAGTTGCTTTAAGAAGAAAGATAATTATGAGGGAAGCCAAATTCTCCCTGTTTCCAAGGAGGACTGAAGGTAATACATATTTATCCAATTATCCTGGGGAAAACTCCGGAAGGGGAGGGACTAAAAGTTCCATGGCTCTGTCGAATTCAGGTGTCCAACTCACCATCCTACCTGGTTCCATGGGGAGAAGAAGCACTTGCATTCAACTGACGGAGTATGGGTTCACAGCAGAAAGGGAAGCTATCCTGACTTTGTGGTGGGGCTGATACTATGTTCACTGTTGTTGCTTTGACATCTGAATGTACAGTAGGAGGAAATACATTCACACTTCCTCATCCCCTAAGTACCAGAAAGGATCACCCTAACTCGGAAGAGCTACATGTGGAGAAGAGCTAGAACAGTGGAACAAAGTCCTCTGACATTTGCTACTAGTAGTAGAGTCAGGATTTAGTACAGAGTATCTATCTCTATCCTCTGATGTCTGTAAGTTTACATTACATTGATGATGTCCTGTTGATTGGCAAGTCAGAAGTCTGTCTCAAAGGACTTGACTGCAATATTACCACACCTCCACCAGCAGGAGTTGCTGATAAACCTCAACAAAATTCAGGGGTCTACTGACCAAGTAAAGTTTTTTGGGTCTATACAGGTAAACTCAAAATACTTAATCCATCCAGGTGTCAAGGAAAAAACATTTCTTCATGTACCCTCTTCCTACCAAAAATGAGGCCCAGCATCCTATCAGACTTTTTGGGTACCAGACAGTATGTGCCTCACTTAGGCATTTTGCTTTTTCCTTTGTACCAACTAATCTGCAAATCAACATCCTTTAACCAACACACTGTTGGAAGTTGTCCATCCAACTGTAGCATGTTCTCTACCATTGGGGCCTAATGACCCCTTTGACATACATGTTTCTCCGACTGATGCTTTGGCAGATTAGTGCTTCTGGCAAAGGGAGGCGGCCTCCACCCTTTTTTTGGGGTTTAGACTTATTTACCCCTGACACTGCTAAAAGGTACACCACCTTTGAAAAGAAACAATTAGCTTTCTGTTGGGCTCTTGTTGAAACTGATGATTGACCCATGGTAGCCTTGAGGTTCTCCAGTCTGATATTCCCATTTGGGTATGAGTCAACTCAACCTTTATGACTAACAAGGTGAGAAGTGCCCAATAAGTGTCACTTGTCTAACAGATATGGTATATTTAAGAAAGCAACTGGCCTCTTGGCTTTTTATCATGAAAAAGTGGCACCTCCCTCATTCTGTTGCCCAAAACAAAATCACTAGATTAATCAAGCCCTTATTTCACTGATGGTTTGGCTAAGCTGAAACTTGATGGTGCTCACTGGGCTGCTGCAGGTGCTCAACCTTGGCACCAACAATGAAAATCAAAAGTAGGCATCGTCACTGTGTTCTGTGGGCAAAACTTGAGGCTGTCCTTATAGCTCTGGCCAACATTCACCAAGATTAATCTCGCTGTAGTTTTTACTGACTCTTGGGTTGTTGCCAATGGTCTGCTTGGTTTGTTACTTCGAAGACTTGGC